ATACAATATTAGTTTTTAAGTTTTCTAACCTTTGGTTCTCTATATACAATATTAGTTTTTAAGTTTTCTAACCTTTGGATCTATATATAAAATGTTAGTTGTTAGGCTTTCTAACCTTTGGATCTCTATGTACAATATTAGTTTTTAAGTTTTCTAACCTTTGGTTCTCTATATACAATATTAGTTTTAAGTTTTCTAACCTTTGGTATCTATATATAAAATGTTAGTTATTAGGCTTTCTAACCTTTGGATCTCTATGTACAGCTTATACAGTTAATTTTCGTTGTTTTCATTCTTGGATGTATACCTACGGTAGAATGTTAATCAAAGATGTTAGTTCAAGTAGTTCAGCAGATGTTTAACCACAGTTACTTATTAGGATTTTTAACATTTTGAATTACTTTAGGGTTTTAGGTGAATGTTTGCGAAAGGTTCTTTAGTTAGTTATGAGGTGTATAACTTCTGGTTCTTTAGTTAGTTATGAGATATATAACTTCTGGTTGTTTAGTTAGTTATAAGGTGTATAACTTCTAGTTGTTTAGTTAGTTATGAGGCGCATAACTTCTTATTCTTTAGTTAGTTATGAGGTGTATAACTTCTGGTTGTTTAGTTACTTATGAGGTGTATAACTTCTGGCTGTTTAGTTAGTTATGAGATATATATAACTTCTGGTTGTTTAGTTAGTTATGAGGTGTATAACTTCTGGTTGTTTAGTAAGTTATGAGGTGTATAACTTCTGGCTGTTTAGTTAGTTATGAGGTATATAACTTCTGGTTGTTTAGTTAGTTATGAGGTGTATAACTTCTGGTTGTTTAGTTAGTTATGAGGTGTATAACTTCTGGCTGTTTAGTAAGTTATGAGGTGTATAACTTCTGGCTGTTTAGTTAGTTATGAGATATATATAACTTCTGGTTGTTTAGTTAGTTATGAGGTGTATAACTTCTGGTTGTTTGGTAAGTTATGAGGTGCATAACTTCTGGTTCTTTAGTTAGTTATGAGGTGTATAACTTCTGGCTGTTTAGTTAGTTATGAGGTGTATAACTTCTGGCTGTTTAGTTAGTTATGAGGTGTATAACTTCTGGTTGTCTAGTTAGTTATGAGGTGCGTGTGTCTTCTAGATTTTTAGCAAGTTATGAGGCGTATAACTTCTGGCTGTTTAGTAATTTATGAGGTGTATAACCTCTGGTTGTTTAGTAAGTTATGAGGTGTATAACTTCTGGCTGTTTAGTTAGTTATGAGGTGTGCGTCTTCTAGATTTTAGTAAGTTATGAGGTGTATAACTTCTGGTTGTCTAGTTAGTTATGAGGTGTGCGTCTTCTAGATTTTAGTAAGTTATGAGGTGTATAACTTCTGGTTGTCTAGTTAGTTATGAGGTGTGTGTCTTCTAGATTTTTTAGCAAGTTATGAGGCGTATAACTTCTGGCTGTTTAGTAAGTTATGAGGTGTATAACCTCTGGTTGTTTAGTTATGAGATATATACAACTTCTGGTTGTCTAGTTAGTTATGAGGTGCATGTCTTCTAGATTTTAGTAAGTTATGAGGTGTATAACTTCTGGTTGTCTACTTAGTTATGAGGTGTGTCTCTTCTAGAATTTTAGTAAGTTATGAGGCGTATAACTTCTGGCTGTTTAGTAAGTTATGAGGTGTATAACCTCTGGTTGTTTAGTTATGAGATATATAACTTTTGGTTGTTTAGTTAGTTACGAGGTGTATGGTAGCTGGTTGTTTAGTTTCTTACAAGGTGTATAATCTCTGGTTGTTTAGTTATGAGAAAAATAACTTTTGGTTGTTTAGTTAGTTACGAGGTGTATAATATCTGGTTGTTTAGTTTCTTACAAGGTGTATACTCTCTGGTTGTTTAGTTATGAGATATATAACTTTTGGTTGTTTAGTTAGTTACGAGGTGTATAATCTCTGGTTGTTTAGTTAATTACGAGGTGTATAATCTATGGTGTTTTGGTTAGATATGAGGTATATAACCGCTGGTTGTTTAGTTAGTTACGAGGTGTATAATCTATGGTGTTTTGGTTAGATATGAGGTATATAACCGCTGGTTGTTTAGTTAGTTACGAGGTGTATAATCTATGGTGTTTTGGTTAGATATGAGGTATATAACCGCTGGTTGTTTAGTTAATTACGAGGTGTATTATCTATGGTGTTTTGGTTAGATATGAGGTATATAACCGCTGGTTATTTAGTCAGTTGTAAGATGTACAACCTTTGGTTGTTTAGTTAGTTAATATATGTAAAACCCCTGGCTCTTTAGTTAGTTTTTACATTTTCGGTGCCATAGATGATGTTAGAAGCATACAATGCTTTTTGAGTAATGGGAATTATTTTTCTCTTTACATGTAAAAACTTTTAAAGTTAGGTTTAAATAATTTAGGTTTTTCAACGCCATATTAAAGAAGTTGTGAATGGTTATACAAAACTTGTTATGCATTTTTTAGTATTTTTTTAAGTATATATTTTTAGTTGTTGGGCAACATTAACACTTCTTGTCTTAGGATTGTAATCAATGAGGCTTATAACCACAAAATATTTGACTAGAGTTTTAGTATTGATAGTTTATAATCTTACATGCTTTGAAGGTGGTTATTGAGAATCATAGTAACCTTCAGATGTTTGGTTTGAGATTTATAACCTTGAATAGTTTGATATTTTTTATTAAATTCGTAATATTTGGGTGCTTACACGAGATTTTAGGTTTAAGATCAATAACCTATAAATATTGATATCAGTTACCGAATTTCTAGTGTTTGAGAGTTAAATTTTGGATGCTAGTTTGTGTGTGTTTTTATGGGGAGATGTACATATCCTTAACATGGTATTAAATTTGATGTGACGTTTTATATAACAGAGCAAAAAAGGTAAAGTATCAGGGAATTAACACCTTCCTCAAATATAAATTGTTATTAATTAATTACTGTTTTTCAAATGTTTTTCAATGATACGTGTAACTTGTGTTCGTAACTATCATATAAAAATTATAAACTTAAGCCTTCCACAGCATAGCACATGATGGATTGTGGAATTATTATTTATTGATTGATATACATAAATTATTACCAATACAAAATAGAATATAAAAATAGCCTATTTGTCTTGCCTCCGCCATAGCATATTTAGAAAGTGACCTTGTTAGGATATTGCTTTACTGTTAGTTTTATCAGTTCACAATTATTTAATTATTTGCGATAAGGAATTATCAAAAAGTATATAACAAAGAAAACGTTACATTCGAAATTACTAAACACTGCGTAAAATTGGAAGCTCAGTCCTACGTCCATGTTGATTTTTGAAATTTTATTTTGTTACTATAGATTCCGATTCACAATGTTAAATAATATTAGAACTGGGAAAAAAAACAAAAACAAAAAACAAAAAACAAGTGCAACAAAAAATAAATAAATTTGTGCTTTCGGCCGTTTGGTGACATTTACAATATTAAATTTAAGATATCACGACACTGTTAGTTTGTCAGATAACAATTACTTTGATATTTTTTCCATAGATCAGTTCTCAGGAAGTGTCTAATAAAGAAAAGGTTGTTATGGAAACTGCCAAGCAGCGAGTTAAGCGCAGAGCAGGATATGCTGGTCCACGAGGTGTTCTGGCCTACATGAAATCATCTGAAACCAACTGCAGTGTAGAGACTCTCCTGGAGCTGGACAGTGAGGAAGATGAAGAGAATAATCAAGGGCTACACGAACCAGAAGAAACATCAAATAGTGCTAAGCATCTGTGCAATAAAGATAAACCGTCAGGTGAATTAATCAGAAAGGGGGTAGAAAGACCACCTGCTTCTAAAAAGAGTGCTTCGATAGCACTTGATAAAAGTGATGATACTGACCAACCATTAACTACTCACGAAACTGTGCCTAATGGTAAACAGAAAAGTTCAAAACATGGCGTAGGACAAAATGGAGAGTACGCTTCTATGGGGTTTGGTGGAGCTGAAATATCTCTCACAAGTTGCTGTCTAGAAAAGAGTAAGAACACTGGTACAAGGGATAAAATTATAGAAAGTATTCCGCCTGACTCTCAAAGTCAACTTGGAAAATTTCAGACACAAAAAAATACTGAAATATTACCGTTTATAGAACTCGCTGAAATTCGGTCGGTCAATGAGTATTCAGAAAAGTATAAGTTCAAGTGCACCGGAGAAACGCAGAACACAGAGAAAATTGTCAATAAATCTAATAATGTTTTTGAAGAAAGAAAAGTTCCAGAAATTACAATCAACGATAATTCAGAAGGGTACACTTATAAAGTTAAAACACCTGTGTATGATGATACAATCAACACTAAGCCTAAGCCGAATACGAAAAACATTGTGGATACACAAGATTCATCAGGACATAAAAACAAGGAAAATAGAGAAACCTTCAATGTTCCTGTACAAAGAAGATCTTCTTTTTTAGATCGAATTTTTCGTACCAAAAAACAAGCAATACAAACAAATAAACCTAACGACAAAAAAACTCTAAGGACAACTTCGCCACAGCGTCGTTTCCTCGGCCTTCCTTTTGGCAAGCTGTCAAACAAGAAAGACGACTCAACTTCATCAGGGAAGTCTGGTTTGTCAAAGGTGAGAATTTTATTCAGTAAAAACGTTAAAAGATGGAAAATGCTATCATACCTAGTTGTTAGGATATCTATCGTACCTAGTTGTTAGGATATCTATCGTACCTAGTTGTTAGGATATCTATCGTACCTAGTTGTAAGGATATCTATCGTACCTAGTTGTTAGGATATCTATTGTACCTAGTTGTTAGGATATCTATCGTACCTAGTTGTTAGGATATCTATCGTACCTAGTTGTTAGGATATCTATCGTACCTAGTTGTCAGGATATCTATCGTACCTAGTTGTTAGGATATCTATCGTACCTAGTTGTTAGGATATCTATCGTACCTAGTTGTTAGGAGTCCCGGACTGTAAACTTGAAGGTTTACGGTTCGCTCTTCTTTGTCGTAAAAACGTTTTTCGCATTTGGGGGCCATAAATGCATCATAAGAATGACGGTAAAATCCAACCATTCGATTAGAATTGCCCCAGAGTTAGCTGCACTGTTGACTAATTACCTTCCCCCTGGTCTATTAACCCAAAATTAGGAACAGCTAGCACAAGTAACTCTTATGTAGTTTTGCGTGAATTTCCAAAATAGCTAGATAATCTAAATCTATTTGTTTCTCCGTTTAGCTATCAGTCTATGTGTGTATTTATCCATGGTCCGTTACAAAGGCGTCGCCAGGTGCGAACAACCTAGAATTTTTTTTGTATTTTTATGGTCACAGACAGTTCAATTTATTTGTTTATAAAGCTACACAAAGGGCTATCTGTGCTCTGCCCACCACGGGTATTGAAACCCGGTTTCTAGCGTTGTAATTCCGCAGATATACCGCTGTGCCACTGGGGACTAGGGAAGTTAAATCTAGTGTGGTTATGTAAGTCCTCTTCTTGTTTTAGAACTCTTTTTTTTCTTACAATGTTCGGTATAATTTTTAATTACTTCTTGCAAAATGCGTATTTGTCGTCAATTCGATGTCAAAGTTCTTCGAGACTTCCAAAGCAAAGATAAGACCAAAATCATCAAGCAGAAATATTTGACTACAACACTTGGGTTTTTCAAAAAGTTTAAAATACATTTAAATAATTATTTCGAGTTTGTTTTTCGCTCTTCTATTTCGAAAAGTTGTACATAAGTATGGAGAGAGTAGAAAACGGAAAGTTGTACGTAAGTACGGAGAAAGCAGAAAACGGAAAGAGATCACATACCATAATCTCCTTAGTATACCACCGTGGGCGATTCAAATTCAAAAAGATATATGAAATCTCTATATCTATCTGGTAGTGGATCAAATCATACAGCTTGAGCGTCGCCTTCATATGCATTTTTCTTGGGTATATATATATATATATACGTTTTGGAGTATAGTTTCTCATTAACCAACAGTCATCTTCATGGCTCGAAAAGAAGCATTTGCTGGAAGCCTTGCCAAGAAAATAAAAAATATAACTCAACATTTATTGTGATTTATCTTCAAAATTATAAATTATATAGTTTTCAATTTATTTGTTTGTTGTTAAGCACAAAACTACACAAAGGGCTATCTGTGCTCTGCCCATCACGGGTATCGAAACCCGATTTTAGCGTTGTAAGTCCGCAGATATATCTCTGTGCCACTAGGGGGGGCTATATAGATTTAAAAATAAATATGATACTATCTACTCATTACTTAAATGAAGTGTATGTGTATGTCACAGTTATACACATGTAAACCTTTTAATAATTGTAGTGCACCTTGTCATCTTTTATAATAATAATACTTAATTTTTGTCTGTTCTGAAAATGCGTGCACACCCTACTATCTAAGTGCGCACGCGCGCGCACTTCATTTCAACGAATGTAAATATACTTTAGTAGATGTTTTGTACAGCGTAATGCTAAAAACCTATCAAAGTTATAACACCTGCCACACGAGCCAACCCGGCATCGTGATGTTGAGCAAAAAAAAAAAAAAAGAGCCATTCCGGAACGGTTTGGGTTGTTTTGATTAGACGAAAAGAAGACATTTGGCACTATTTTTGTGGTCTAGGTGCTGGACCAGACAGCCACTCCGGGACGGTTTGGGTTGTTTTGATTAGACGAAAAGAAGACATTTGGCACTATTTTTGAGGTCTAGGTGCTGGACCAGACAGCCATTCCGGAACGGTTTGGGTTATTTTGATTAGACGAAAAGAAGACATTTGGCACTATTTTTGAGGTCTAGGTGCTGGACCAGACAGCCATTCCGGAACGGTTTGGGTTGTTTTGATTAGACGAAAAGAAGACATTTGGCACTATTTTTGAGGTCTAGGTGTTGGACCAGATAACCATTCCGAAACGGTTTGGGTTGTTTTGATTAGCGAAAAGAAGACATTTGGCACTATTTTTGGGGTCTATGTGCTGGACCAGACAACCATTCCGGAACGGTTTGGGTTGTTTTGATTAGACGAAAAGAAGACATTTGGCACTATTTTTGGGGTCTAGGTGCTGGACCAGACCCGAGACCATGAGAGCCAACACGGAGAAGTTATCTTGTAAATGTAAAGTAAAACGGCATAGCAATGAAACATGCTTGAAATGCTCTAGATGTGGTTGTGAATATGATAGTTTAATTGTAGCGATTAAGCTAAATCTGAGGTCTATGTGCTGGACCAACCCGAGACCATGAGAGCCAACATGGAGAAGTTAACGTGTAAATGTAAAGTAAAGCGACATAGCAATGAAACATGCTTGAAATGTTCTAGATGTGAAAAAATAATAAATAATATTCAACGTTAAACTGGTACACAATTAAAAACATTTTATTTAGGCCTATCTATGGCCTTCAAAAAGTTGACGACTCTACATGTTTCGAATATGAGGATGTCACTGTTACCTAGAATTACATTTGGTGGAGTTAAAATCTTGTTTGCTAGCTTTTTGTATGCTCAACTATGGGTAAAGGATTGCTTGACATGTTAGCTAACGTTATACATTGTAATGATAATAACTATAGCTATTAGTTAATTGATATGGTTCATGATGATTTACTGTAGCTATTGGCTAATTGATCGCATTATTTCGACATATAAAATGTTAAGCTGCATCTGGAGATTGTCATGGCGATTTGTTTGAAAATATAGTTTCTGTGTAACTAAATTCGCTATATATAATGCATATTAATGGGTAAATATAAGACTCAACTTCCAATAAGCTCCTATAAAGTTTTACCAGTAGGAAAGCAGTCTTTTCAAATAAAACAAATATGTTTAAAACATCACCTTCCTGTCTTTTAAAGTAAATATTCTACGTGTAATGAAATGTAATATTATGTGTATTGATTTTTTAATTCTTTCACTTCGTACATAATAAAAGGGTTGGTCCCTGAAGACACCGATTGTATAGTTTACCTTTGTACCACATGTTACAGTCATATAATGTTCATCTATTATTGACTGGTAATTCCTGTTTCACTCTGTTCTTAAGCTTTTTAAAGGTACAACAGATATTTGTAAGAAAGCTAACTTCAAGGGACGTGATAACGTCGTTTACATAATAGTTTTATAATGATATTCTTGTTAAAGTTTTGAGAGTGATTCTATTTCTGTTGGATCAATAATGTTACGTAAATGTGGAATTAATAATTTGGTTAAGTATGATTTGAGGCTTAACAATATTTAATTTTTTAAAAAAACAACTGTATGTTACTCTCTTCACATAAAGAATTACTTATTTACCCTGCGAGCTTTCGGGTCAGTTACTAGACACTCGGACGGGCATGTCTTTATGTAGTGTAGGGTTACACTATGTAGCAACTAGCCGATAGATGTCTCTAGCAACAGATATAACATCTTATGTAATTGGGACTCACACTCCGTAACATATTTCCTACCGATGGTTCTACTAACAAAACTAAAACTTCTGTAAAGTGGGATTACACTAAGTAACACCTAGCACAAAGATAGTTCTAGTAATAGGGCTGAAAGCTCATGCATTTTGCCATGACACTAAGTAACACCTTGACCATAGATAGTTCTAGTAATAGGGCTGAAAGCTCATGCTATTTTGACATGGCACTAAGTAACACCTTGCCCAAAGATAGTTCTAGTAATAGGGCTGAAAGCTCATGCATTTTGACATGGCACTAAGTAACACCTTGCTCAAAGATAGTTCTAGTAATAGGGCTGAAAGCTCACGCATTTTAATATGACACTAAGTAACACCTTGCCCAAAGACAGTTCTAGTAACAGGGCTGAAAGCTCACGCATTTTAATATGACACTAAGTAACACCTTGCCCAAAGATAGTTCTAGTAACAGGGCTGAAAGCTCACGCATTTTGACATGACACTAAGTAGCATCTTGCCCAAAGACAGTTCTAGTAACAGGGCTGAAAGCTCATGCATTTTGACATGACACTAAGTAGCACCTTGCCCAAAGACAGTTCTAGTAATAGGGCTGAAAGCTCATGCATTTTTGACATGACACTAAGTAACTTTTTGCTCATAGGTAGTTTTAGTAACAAAGTTAAAAGCTTAAATAGTGTGGAATTACACAAAATAATACTTTGACTACAGATGGTTTTTGGCCATATGTACGTAAATACGTTATTAGTTTAGAGGTTCTCTTAATATTAATCTCGACTTCTTAAATTTATAGTTCTTTTTCACTCCATGCTGGATTGATATTGTCACCAAAGTATATTTGATAAACTTATCACAGTTGAGTTAATTTTTATCACAAGAACTCAGTATTATGGTTATAGTATTTTTACACTACGTTCTTTATTCAGGGACTGAATAAAGTATGTATGGTTAAAACATATAATAGGCCTAATACTAATGTTTTATGACAAGTATGATAAATTATAATCATAACAGGCGTTCAAACCATAACAACTGTTGTTGTAACAAATGGCTTATCTAAATATTATTCTAACCACTGCTGTATTTGAGAGTGATTTATTATTGAGCACCAGCTACTAAATGGTTCGGTTCATATTTGCTCTTTTACCAAGGTTTGACAATCGATTTGCATATCAGAATCGCTTCGGAACTCCACC